ACTCAAATCCTAGAATTCGGGAGGCTAAATGAAATTCACACATGAATTCAGCTTCTGCCTAAATACATGGATTTTTGACCATTGATATCTCAAAGTAATTATTAAGTCACTTAAAGCTAAAAGCCAGTATGTCTGACTTCATTTTCAGTTTTGTAAATGCATGTAAAACATAACAGTGCAGTCATATATTTGGCATTAACTCTTACTAGCCACAAAAAATATGGATCAATATTGGATTTTCCAAAGTTGTCTAAGTAAGACTGGATTTATCAAAACTTGCCGGTTGCTTTCAAGTGAACACAGCATGTTGGCGGAAATGAAATGTAGTGTCTAAAAGACAGAAAATAGGCCAGTACTATACAAAAGTAAACTTGTCAGTGAGATCAATATGAACCTACAAGTTAATGGGGATATTAGAATTTCCTTACAATAAGGGCTGTGCAGGGTGGAGCCAGAATACGATGGTAGCATTTATTCACTTGTGAAAAGCAGAGGGTGTATTTTTGTATCCTTAATGAAAGGCACTGCTTTTTAATGTGGAATACTTATATGTAAGCACAGTTTTAATTCCTGGAATATCATAGTAAATTAAATTCTGATTCATATGCTCAGCTTTTAGCAATATGAAAATAATAAAAACAAGGAGTAATGGATCAAACATCATAAAATTTCAGAAATATCATGACGTTCTCATTAGCTTTCTCTATGTTGTGTTTCAGAGAATTTGACATTGGGGATGAAATCAGTAAAAATATTTGAAGGGCAAACAAAAACAAAAACAGAAAGAACTTTCTTGGGGCTTCCCATTGCATTTATTTAAAGTTTTAAAAAATGTACATCACTTTTGGAATACATAAAATGCCAGTGCTTTGCAACAGTTTTGTTACTGCATCTCTTGACTAAAAAATTAAAGAAAAAAAAAAAGGAAAAATACATTCAAAAAGCCAGGCTGTCTGCTTATGCATGGGCAGTGGCTTTGGAAAGCTGCAGCCTACATTGTGTCTGTTCAGAGGCATTGCCGGGCGTCAGTCAGCTACCAGTGAGAAGTTGCACAGAAAGCACAGAGGAAGACAAAGAACAACTTGGTGGGGAGCAGGAGAGGAATGCGAAATTATGAAAAATGCCGCATATGCTATTGGGGTGGGAGCTAGAATCAGGTAGACATAAGCAGGAAGACTGATGTACTTGGCAACGAGATTTATGGGAAAAGATGGAAGAAAACAAAGTGACATGTCTGGCAAGCTATAGAGTGTATGTGTGTGTGTGCCTGTGTGTGTGTCCACTTCTAATTTTCTACTTTAATTTCCAAGAGAAATGTAACAAAACTGAGGTAGAAATGAACGTTGTGGGGACACTACAGCCCAGAAGAGTTTAAAATGAGAAGCAAAATTGCACTGACAAGAGAGGAGTCCAAAAGAAGGAGAGGGGATGTAGACGCTCTTTGTGGATATATATATATGTATATATATATGTAAGTTGGTCGGTTGTGTTTTGTAGTTATTTAGTTAGTTATTTGCTTGATTTGGTTGCTATCTTTGCATTCTGTTAAACAGCACGGCAAGCCTACAAGCTAGATTAGTGAGTAGAATGACACTGTTCCCAGCAGTTTTAAGAGAGAACTTGCAAACCACCACCACTCCCACCTATGCAGTAAAATGCAGTCCTAGTCTTTAGGTACTGTGACTTTCAGGGTCCTACACAGGTTTCGTGGCTGACTGTCCTAGACGCTAACACAAACGGAGTAAGGAGCTTTCCATTAACCAGTGTAACTTTTAAGAACATTTTCACTTCATTATCAAGGAGCAGTGTACGAAGAACTCTTGCAGTGACTGACATAAAGAATGACTCTGCTCTGGTTAATTCCCCATAATTTGTAAAAGAAGCTTTTTTTTAAAAAAAAAAAATCCTTCCATTTCTACTTTAAATTGTAAATATTCAGTTGTATCACACTTCACTATTTTTCTGGATACATTCAAAGTAATTTTCCTTGCTATTTTCCAATCGTTGAGGTAAACATACATTTTAATATAAAGTAACATTGGAGCCTATCCCATTACTCTCAGCAGTACATAGTGCTTTCAACACATTCCTTTGAGGTACTGTACAAATCACAATCGCTTTCCTGAGTTTTTGCAGACAAGAACATGAAAAGAAATGAACTGCAGAAAATAAGGTCCAGATTACCGTTACCCTGTTTTACCTGTTCTTAGCTTAATACCGCAGAACAGACAGGATTGAGGAATACTGTTGCTCTTAAAATGGCAAAAATCTGGTTTTCTGTCATAACACAACCGTTCATCTCTTTAGTCCACTAATGTTTGAAGTTAAAGCTCTTTATATTAGCACATGCCACCAATGTAATTGTGAGGCAAACAAAAAAATAAAGCACCACTCCAGGCACTTGACAGCAACTAAATCTCGAGAACAGCAGAATGGAATCAACACACGAGGTTCATGTCCTTCCGAAGTCAACACACTTGCACCTTGCTCCTTGGTGAGTGTTGTCTAGCGTGAGCTGGACTGAGCATCCACAGATGCTGTCATCTGGGGCTTTCAAATCGGATGCTCTCATTCGATGCATTTTTTCCCCCCTCCAAATCTACCCTGACTCTAAAGATGCAACTTAATCATCATCTTCCCCAGTACCCTTTGCAATTTAAACACTACTGGAAAGGGGCTCTATACCCTATGTAGCAGGTTTTATGTGTGTGTGCCAACATTCATTACACTTTTTAAAAGAAGTTATCACTGACTGCAACCAAACATTTTGTTCCATTCAACATACATATCAAGCTCTTTTTGAGATATGCTAGGCTGAATCTTGCAGAAAGCATTTTCAAAGTCTTGATATGTAACGGGCCTCAACTGGCTGGGCATGATGGCTGAAAGGTCTGTGGCCGGCATGGCGTGGAGGGGGCCCACTGCCGCTTCCTGACACAAATGAGCCACGTCTAGTCCAGAAAAGCCTTCTGTGCGCTGGGCGAGCAGTGCAAACTCCTTTTCGTTGAGACAGTAATTGTGCTGTGAGAGCAGTTGTACTATTATCTGGTGCCTCGCTGTGCTGTCAGGAAGTGGGATTAAAAGTCGTTTCATGAAGTACCTCCGGAGAGATTCATCTATTTCCTCGGGTTTGCTGGTGGCACAAATTACTACGATTTGGTCCTCAGCCGAAGTTAGTACAGTGTCCAGCTGCATCAGAAATTCGGTTCTCATCCGACTGACTGGACTGTGCTCCTCACTCACTTGAGAGGAGAGAAGCAGGTCAATGTCACTGACAAAGATCACGGAGGGCTGGCGACACCTGGCCACAAGGAAAGAGGCATGGATAATTTTCTCCGCTTCTCCTAACCACTTGGCAACGAGTCCAGAACCAGCGATTTTGAAGAACGTGGCCCCCAGCTGACTAGCGATGCATCTGCCCAATAATGTTTTGCCTGTTCCTCGAGGGCCAAATAAAAGGATGCTCCGAGGTAAGGCCGTCAGTCCACTGAAGGCATCGGACCTCAGCACTGGCCATAAAACCTCCTCTTTAATGACGGCCTTGACCAGGTCCAGACCGGCTATGTCGCCCCAGTCCACGGGTGGTCCCTGGGCGATGATCTCGTTGGTGACCAGGTCAATGAGGTGCGAGTCAGTGTTCTTCAGTTGCTCGTCCACAGAGTGGTTGGATGAGGTAGCTGCACGGAGCCCAGGGCCCGGCATGGGGTGAGAGAGGAGCTGCCTGTGCTCGTCCCCATGCTCACTCATCACCGGCGACGTGTACTTCCCAAAGGACTCGCTGGATCTCGAGCCCAGTGAGTTTTTAGCAGTACTGTAGGAAGGCGGGGTCAGAGCCCTACTGGACTGGCTGCTGAATTTTCTCTGCTGTTCAGAGGACATGAGCTGCTTCGTTGGCTTAAATGCCAAGGATGATGCTTCAGCACTTCTGTCAAAGCCATTCCCCCGATTTGAGTTTGAAATGCTGTTGTCGGGCATTCTGTACATAGGACTCTGTGTCGATCTCTGTTGGCCATAGCTGTAATTTCCATAACTGGAGTCCATATCACCCTGCCCTGCCATATAGAAAGCTTTTCTCTTGAGAGAACTCGCCGAACTGTTTGTCAGGGCCGAGGGTGCGATAGGTGTCAGACCGTGACCCTGGTAGGTGTAGCCAGGAACAGTGGTAGGGGGCAGAGGGGTGGGAGCAGGAATTCCTGAAGGCAGGTAGGCTGAAGGAGGAGGGGGTGCCCCCCCAGGGCTATAACCAGACCCCACCGCAGTCTGAGGGGGATAGCTAGCAGAGGGATAGCTGTAACTGGAGAGGTTAGAAGTCCCATTGTAGCCTGGGACCAGGGCTGGTGGCGGAGGAGGGGGTGGTGGTGGCTGCAGGAGCCCAGAACTATGCAAAGGAGATGGATGAGGCGAGGGAAGTGCAGGTGCTGGTTGGCCACTGTACGTAGAATGCAGATAAGATCCGTTGTATCCTGGGGCATATTCCTGAGATGGGAGCCCTGCATGAAGACTAGGTACAGTGTGGCTTCCACAGGTACTACTGGAGTAACTGGGTTCTGTCAGGTTGCTGGCCACCCCAGGAGAGCTCCCTATACTTGCAGAGACATCTGCTGGAGGGAGGGCTGAACTGACTCCAGCTTTGCTGGCAGTGATGACATCCGGGACACAGTTCATGGGATAAACGGCTTCTGAATTCAGGGACGGCTGCCAGGGCTCGTTTTCGTTTTTCCGACCATTCACGAGTCCTGACGGTGGGTCTGAGTAGTTGCTGAGCACAGGTCGGTCCACAGGGCCCTCCAAAATGCCAGAATACTTCTCTGCATATTTTTTTAGTAGGTTGGATGCAGTCAGAGCAGAGATGTCATCATTCGCCCAGGCGTACTGATAGGTGCGCTGCAAATGACCTCTGTAGGCTTCGACTTTGTGGGCAGGAGACCGAGTGGTCGAGGTGATGTCAAAGTGCTGTTCTGGCCACTGGGCATGCTCCGGCGTCCACTGCATCTTCAAGCCTAAGGATGGGGGTGGGGGGAAAGTTGTTACTTAGATACTCATCAGAACTTCTTTTGTTACCTATTATTTTCTACCAATAATATCAACATTATAAAATATTCCCCCAGTTTATAATATCTGTCATGATCTCTATAATATGCATACTTTAAATTGGATTGAATTTCAGCCCTGTATAAAAAAATAAACTGAATTCAAATGAAAACTCCGTAGAAGACTTAAATTTTTCCCCATTTTTAACTCATAAGCAAATATATTTCTGTTAAGCCTATTAAGTCACTCGCTACACAGAAACACATATATATGTACACACACATTCCTGCCAAGTTAGAATTCAACCCTAGGTTCTTACAATAAAATATGCATACATTTTAAATATCTAGCAAGTGCTTGTATTAATGTGCGGTATCTAGCTATTCTGTCTCTTCCACATCACAGTTTCTGTTTTATATTTTAGCCAATATAAAAATGAGACACAGCTGACAGATCACATCTAGGATACCCCTCTTATTTGGTACTGAACACCTAGTTAGCACAGTATAATGCTCCCTGCACAGAACAATATGACACAGACAGAGCAGGTCATTCCATAATCCAACTCTCATCTAAAGTGGCCCACGACAGTTTCAAATCTGTCTCGTGGAGTGCAGCAAAGCAATCTCCCAGGCAGCGCTCCATCGCTTTCATCGCACAAAGCCCACAACTCGGTATGAATTACAACTGGCTCCTTTCTGCCTCTCAGTCCTGTTGTTGAGCCCCTGAAAAAAAGATACAGGCATCACTTGTCTGCCGGTCTTCTAGCTAGCATTCTCCCTCCTTCTCTAATAATCCTTCTCTCTGCCTTAGAGCCTCCAAGCTACTAAGAGGAAAGAAGATTCTCTGTCTCTCTCTCTAGAGAGAAAGGTGAATAGGAAGATAAGACTAGAGAGAGAATAAGAGAATCTGGAGTCTAACTCTATATTTCCATGGGAAGCAGTGTGTGGCAGACACTGGAATAGTACAACTCTGTAATGGATTGCTATGGGTAATTGTAGCATCTGTTAGATTACTAACTGAAGCAAGGTGACTATGTATTCAAGTATAAAACAAGAGTATTTTCTCACTGAAAAGAAAATGCTAAGCAGTTAGAATCAGAATCATTTGAATTTTACAGTTTAAAAGAGACCTTAGAAATTACCTTCTCACACCCAAAGGGATTCATAATGCACCCTCGAGGCCTCACATGCAGTTAGTGACAGAAGAGCGCTGGAACCCTGTTCTATTTCCCAGGGCCGGCTCATCCCATCCTAATCTCTGCTTCCTTGGAACACTTGCTAGTCTGGTTCAGCTGTATTAAGCAGGCCTCCTTCATCTCCTCTGTATGACCCAAAGTGAATTTTGCAAACTGTCTTGTGCCCTCTGGCAGAGATTCCTTGATAAGAAGGAGGCCTGGTCTAAATGAAGCTTCTGTGGCATCAGCTCTCCTCTGAATTTCCCAGTCTATTTTGACAGCTCCTACCCGCCTCTGCTTTCTTCCTCCAAACCCTTTAGCTCTTCATTGCCTGACTGGCTTCTGACACAGCCAGCTTTGACTTACTGAGCAAATCTGAACATAGCACAGAGTTTGGTAACAGAATGGCATGTTGATTCCCTTCTGACTCCCTCTTCCTTGTTTGCAAAACCATTGCACCAGACACTGGAAGTTAATTAGCGGGATGATGCTGTGCTAATTGTGTTAATTTACAAGGTTTTAGTCAAAGAGAATCATGCCAGGGCTGGCACTGCTGTCATGCTTCCAACTTAATGATTAAAAAATACTGAAAACAAGGTAGGAAGGATTGCAGTAATTACACAATAAATGAATAAAGCAACAGGATTCATTTGCAAATATATTTTACTACAGTTGTACTCATTTGCATTTGGATTTTTTAAAAGGATCCATGTAGACATTCATTTGCAAATCACCATCTCAGTTAAATTAAGTCCGAAAGCTGCACAGCATAACTTAATCAAGCTTTACCATTTTTTTTAGTAAAAATACTAAAGGCCTTGCTACTAAAGATCTCTTGTACATGTAACAGATTCCTTCTTCACTTTCCTGCTTTTCAAAGTCTGTCTTTTAGAAACAATCTCATCAAATTGCAAAATAATAAAGTAAAATAATAAATAAATAAATTGTAAATCTGGGTGAAATGCAGCTTGTATCATTTCACTCTGAGAAACTCGGTGCGAGTTCTAGGAAGAACTAAAGTGATATTCTTAATTGTTTCTGTTTTCTCAATCGTTATTTTTTAAGGGGGAGGAAAACATACCACAAAATGGGTGAAATGATCGAAACCATACTTAAAGGGGAAAAGATGCAATTTTAATGAAGCAGCATTTCAGGAATCATACTTTCATTAAATTCAACTGGAAATTATTAAGAGCAAATCACCAGGAACCAATCGCAAGTAATCAGTATCTAAATTCTTCTAGTGTCATGGGATTTACTTCAAGCCTTATAAGAAGGAGAGAATATTAATGCGACTGTAATGGAGAGCTGTCTAAAAGACCTACAAATTCATTAGTCCTGTAAATTATTTCCAGGGAATTTCTATTAGGATTTTTTTTTTTTTCGTTAAGACTATCAAAATACAGTGTTGAGAACATAAGAATACACATATGCTATGAGTAAGAATTTGATTAGACTGATACAGAATAAACATGTAAATAAATGTCTTGAAACAAGGTTTCAGAAAATAATTTAGGAGTCACGGGCAATGGGATTTACTACAAGTGCACCACAACACAACACAGCACCACACCACACAACACGCATGTTAAAGGGCCTGGTTTCCTTTCAGTGAGCTGAGGTAAGTCATTGTTGTCATGAGTTAACACACATAATAACAAAATTGATATTTAAAATGCTCATTGTAAAAAACAAAATAACACTTATTTAGCTTTAGATTTAGAATAATTATTAAAAACAAAACAAAACAAAAACGATGGGCAGCCTTCCGCCTGTACTGGCTTAAATTTTTTTCCTTGTAAATTAACCATTTATACCAATACGCATAAAGTAATCTTGGTAAGGTATAATCCCTATACGAGACAGGAATATAAAGCTTAAATCAAGTAGGTTGGCTATTTTTCACTGGGCCTTTTTGCTTAGGCTCTGGCAAAACGAATTAAATTTCACAAGATTTCTGTTTCATCAGAAATTAAGCAAAGATCCTATCAACATTATCTATTTGAAACAATTACGGGAAACACGATTGCTTTTTGATTCTCAGGCTATTTTTGGATGTGATTACCAAGATTATTGGAAGTTTATTGATTGATTCATACTAAATAACAATAACCTTAGCGGGGCTGCAAAAGGCAAGATTGAGCTTTGATTAAATAAACTTAAAGGAACGGAATTACTCATATCCCTGAAACACAAGGACTTACCTAGTGCTTTAAAGTCATTAGTATTGTTTAAACGTGGAAGTTAATAGTTTACCGTCTAGTTCTCACTATCAGTAGGCGCCCAGGAAGCTAGTGTTCAGGACACTGTCCTGGCCTTGTGAGCACAAAGAGCTTTCTCATCGGTGTCTTGAATTTTAATGCCAATTGAAAGTAGAACCAAACTTATTTTTGTTGTTGTTATTATTGCTCCGTTTATTGGTGGTGATATGTCTGATGTGAAATGGATGAAAAACATACTGTTAAATGTTCTTTGAACAAAAAAAGCACGCTCCCTTTTACTGTATTGCTGGTATCTGTGAGTGAGAAGCAGCAGATGCCTGTCACTTAACGGCACCCAAATAATAAGATGGGTTTTAAAAACAGCTTTTATATGGTTTCTTTTTGAAACACGAAGAGAAAAACCTCAGAAACAATGCCATCTTAAACATTATTAGAGACGTGATTCCAAAAAAAACTAACTCCCACTGCTGTTTAGTAATAGCTTACATAAGTACAATGAAAACTCAGAAAACAGCGAAAATTAAGAAAAAATAGTTCTTAAAGGTAATTGAAGAATTGCTCCAAAACATCAATTTTTATGTTTGATAGGATCAGACAATTATTAATACAGCTGGCAAATTTTACAATGCAATGTGTTTGTTTTTAAAAATGTGTAATTTAATAGAAAATTGCTTTTAAGATACTTTACCATGTTACACAAGAACGGCAGGTTCTACAGTAAAAAGCCGGAGCATTTTGTTATTTTATTGTTATAGGATTAATTTATGTGTGTACAAATGAACAAGCCTATATTTCCCATAAAACTGGGCAGTTTGCATAACATTTTCCATTGTTATCCTTACGACCATTTCATAACTTATCTTTAATTACTAAACAGTTGCTGCCTCATCGCTTTACTTGCTACATTTTCACAATTTTGAATGAAACAACTGGAAACAATTGTGGCATCCTTCACAGTTCTGTCTCAGCTTCCAAATTATCAAGAAGCTCTTGTAGAGGAAAACGAAGGATATAAAAACAACTTTCTGAATGGGAGGAAACTGAAATAAAAGACTAAGCCTGCTAGAATCTATTTTTAGCACACATTCCTGGAAATATTAATCTAAGGCACTCACTACTCCACCCCCACCCGTAACACACACATGCTATTCAGCAGTTCATCAGGTCTAAAAAAGCTGTTCTCCTCTAGCAGGTTCCCATGGGGTAATTCTGCCTGCTAGGGACTCTGCCTTCATTTGTCGGTGTTCTCAGACTTCCTAAGGGCAGGGACCCGAGGCAAACACCTGCAGGCACAGGGCTGGCTGCTCTAGGATGGCTGCACAGCACTCTCACAGGCCTGCAACGTCACTGCACTCATCACACTCACTCCTTTGGGTTACTGCACCTCTCAAGCTTTCATTATTATTTTTTATAATATACTAGAGGCCCGGTGCACAAAAATTTGTGCACTTGGGGGGGAAGGGGGGTTCCTCAGCCTGGCCTGTGCCCTCTCACAGTCTGGGACCCCTCAGGAGATAATGACCTGCTAGCTTAGGCCTGCTCCCAGGTGGCAGAGGGCAGGCCCAATCCC